ATGGTGTTGGAGGATGAGCCCCCCAGGTCTGAAGACACCCCTACAGCTACTGGGGAAGAAGCTCCTCTCCTCGGGGCAGCTGATAGTAATGATGGTGATGGGTCAAACCTGAATAGGAGCTCCTCGCTTGATGTCATCAGAAATGCCAAGAGAAGAGTGCGCTTTACCAATAAACACAGTATCGCTACATGGAATGTACGAAGCATGTCAAGTGGGAAGATGGAAATTGTATTATCAGAAATGGAAAGAACAACTATAACAACTATGGGAATCAGTGAATTAAAATGGATAGGAAAAGGCCATTTTCGCACAGGAAAACACATGGTGTATTACTCAGGACATGAATCTCTAAGAAAGAATGGAGTAGCTTTTATCATGCAACAACAGATGGCAGATTGTGTCATTGGATATAACCCGATTTCAGAAAGGTGAATCACAATACGTATTCAGGGACAACCTATTAAGCTGACTATCATACAGATCTATGCACCAACTACTGATGCAGATGAGGAGGATATTGAAGACTTCTATCATACCCTTGAAGAAGTTCTAGACAACACACCAAAGATATAACTATAATAATGGGAGATTTCAATGCAAAAGTTGAAAGTGTAGCAACATCTCAGATTACTGGAAAATATGGGTTGGGAATACGAAATGAGGCGGGAGAGAGACTGGTTCAATTCTGCACAGATCACCGCATGGCAGATATGAATACTTGGTTTGAACAACCAAAACGACACAGGTATACTTGGACGTCACCTGGAGGTCAATATCGAAATCAGAATGATTACATTCTTTGCCAACAAAGGTGGAAAAGTAGGGTGAACATCACCAAGACTCTCCCTGGTGCGGATTGTGGATCTGACCATGAGCTACTTATGCCTCAGATTAAAATGAAACTTAAGAAGGCTAGCAGACCAATAGCAGTGAAGAGATATAATATCAACAACATTACAAACAAATACACTGTCAATGTTTCCAATAGATTCCAAGTTCTTTCACAAGAAGAACCACCTGAAAAGCTGTGGGAGGACATGAAGACCGCAATAAATGAGGCCGCAAAAGAAACCATCTCCTTAGTGAAGGCTACGAGAAGATCTAAGTGGCTATCAGAGGAAGCCATACAAACCGTTGAGGATAGGAGAAAGGCCAAACAAGAGCAAGACCCAAACAAATACAAACACCTGAACCAGCAATTCCAACGGCAAGTCAGAAGAGACAAAAATCTATACTTCATGGAAGAATGTAGGACCATGGAAGCTCACAATGCAGCAGGACACTCAAGTGCGCTTTTCAAAAGCATGAAGTCACTCACTGGGAAATTTACTGCGAGGCTAGGAGTGAATAAATCCAAAGAAGGAAATATTCTGACAGAAGGAGATCAAATAAAAGCGAGGTGGAAATAATACACACAAAACCTCTACCAACGGGATCCCACCATGAATGATGTTTACACCCCAGAAGAGTATATGCTAGAACCTTAAATAACATCAGAAGAAGTACAGGTTGCTCTCAAATCAATAGCAAATAAAAAGTCACCCGAAGTTGATCAATGAAGGCAAGTTGATAATGAAGGCAAGTGGTACACATGGAGTAAAACACCTGACTAGGCTCTTCCAAAAAATCTGGCAAATGGCAGAATGGCCAAAAGAATGGAAACATTTATCTAGCATTGCCCAAAAAAGGAGACATCACAGAATGTGCAAATAACAGGACAATAGCACTCATTTGTCATTGCAACAAGGTTATGCTTAGAATAATTCAAAGACGGCTGGAACCTTACATGGAAAGAGAATTACCTAAGGAACAAGCTGGTTTTCGGAGGGGCAGAGGAACACGTGATCACATTGCTAATATGAGATGGCTCATGGAAACAACCAGAGAATATCAGAAGAAAGTGTATTTCTGCTTTATAGACTACAGCAAAGCGTTTGACTGTATTGACCATCACCGTCTGTGGAATCAACTAAAACCAATGGGTATTCCTGAACATCTAATCATACTCATGAGGAATCTTTACAAAAACCAAAAGGCAACAGTCAGAACTGATCAAGGTGACTCTGAATGGTTTGGTATAAGTAAGAGGGTGAGACAAGGCTACATCTTGTCCCCATATTTGTTCAACTTATATGCAGAAAGTATCATGCGTGAAGCTGGCCTGGAGGAAGAAAGGGCAGGTATCAAAATAGCAGGTATGACTATAAATAACCTGAGATATGCAGATGACACCACACCACACTCATGGCTGAAAATGCTAAAGATCTAGAAAAGCTAATAAAAGGGGTAAAGACACACAGTGCCCAAACAGGTCTATATCTGAATATTAAGAAAACAAAGGTTATGACAACAGATAATGTAGAAGAGTTTAAGGCAGATGGGGAAAAGATAGAAGTTGTGCAATCCTTTAACTTTCTCGGAAGATACATTTCTAAGAATGGAGGAACATCAGAAGAAATCAAATGCAGACTTAGCATGGCTAGAACAGCAGTAATAAGCCTGAAAAGACTCATGAAAAGTGGGGATCTGTCCAAAAGCACTAAGATCAGAATGATTGAAACACTTATTTTTCCAATAGCGTTGTATGGATGTGAAAGTTGGACAATCAAAAAGCAAGATAGGAGACGGATTGATGCTTTCGAACTGTGGTGCTGGAGGAGAGTGTTAAAGATTCCTTGGACAAAGAGAGAAACTAACAAATCAGTGATTGAAAGAACTGCACCGAAATTAACCTTGGAAGCACACATCATAAAGCTCAGGTTGACATATTTTGGTCATGTAATGAGGAAAGACAGCAGTCTAGAAAAAAATCTTATGTTGGCTAAATGTGAAGGGAAGAGAAGACAAGGAAGACAGCGACAGAGATGGCTGGATGGTGTCGTGGATGTGACTGGTAAATCGCTGGCGGTGTTGAAAGAAGAAGTGAAGGACAGAAATTACTGGAGACAGGTTGTGCATGATGTCACCAAGAGTCGTCAGCGACTTGATGGAACATAAGAAAGAGATATGTATATGTATATATATAGTATATATATATATATATATATATATATATATATATATATATATATATATATATATATATATATATATATATATATATATATATATTTATATATATATGTGTGAAAAGGAAAACAACTACAATAAAAAATTAACATTTCGAACTATTGACGAGTTCTTCATTTTAGCTAATATCTATATCTATCTATCTATCTATCTATCTATCTATCTATCTATCTATCTCTATATATATATTTATATATACACATATATATTTATATATATACACACATATATATACATATATATATATATATATATATATATATATATATATATATATATATATATATATAAATATATATATATATATATATATATATATATATATATATATATATATATATATATATATATATATATATACATATATATACACACATACACACACACATAAATACGCATATCTGAATGCATATGTAAACCAGTAGCAACTGATCACACACACAGAATATATACATGTATTTATATTTATGTGTTTGTAGATATATGTGAAGTTAGAGCTGGAAATAAAGAAAAATGATCTGAGAGCAAATAAATCTGTCATCTGAGCGTCATGAATTTATGTGTCCATCAGATGATTGGCTGAGGCAGTCGACAAAAAGGGAACACAGTCCATCTGAATATTAAACAGGAATATTTTTCTTCCCCTTTATCCTTTTAGAGCAGATCACACGCTCCATCTTTTTTACAAGAACGCAAATACTAAGTTAGATGGATGGACGCGATTGAGGATCTAGCAAGCGCATTTCAACTCCGGCAAGGGTAACGACATATATACATATTTCTCGCATTATTATACGAATTCATTGCAGGAAGAACAACGAAGGGAAGATCAGGAAAACACACGAATATGCCGAAGGCCTTTTCGCATTTATTGCTTCATCAGGGCATACATAACAAGAGATACATAGAAGTATATATACTAGTACTGGGCGGTCAGGTCACGTTGGTGATCAGGTGAGCGACGACCTTGGCTAGTTCGTGGCTCCCCGTAGCGGTGTTGAAGTTGTTTGTTGAGTGTATGTATGCCGCTTCCACCATCTTCCTTTGCCGTGGGGGCAGGCCTTGCTTAATGATGGAGGCCTGGGACCACTTGGGGAGATGGCCGTCGGTGTCGACGTGAACGACGAAGGCGCTCCTCGTGGTCTAACAGACCAACATCGCGGCGCCCTCCGACGACACGACACGAGGAGCGCCTTCGTCGTTCACGTCGACACCGACGGCCATCTCCCCAAGTGGTCCCAGGCCTCCATCATTAAGCAAGGCCTGCCCCCACGGCAAAGGAAGATGGTGGAAGCGGCATACATACACTCAACAAACAACTTCAACACCGCTACGGAGAGCCACGAACTAGCATAGGTCGTCGCTCACCTGATCACCAACGTGACCTGACCGCCCAGTACTAGTATATATACTTCTATGTATCTCTTGTTATGTATGCCCTGATGAAGCAATAAATGCGAAAAGGCCTTCGGCATATTCGTGTGTTTTCCTGATCTTCCCTTCGTTGTTCTTCCTGCAATTTGTTTGACATGAATTCCATACGAATTCATATACATATATATATACGTATATATATATATATATATATATATATATATATATATATATATATATATATATATATATATATATATATGTACATATATATATATATATATATATATATATATATATATATATATATATATATATATATATATATACATATATATATATATATATATATATATATATATATATATATATATATATATATATATATATATATATATATATATATATATATATATGAATATCTATTTATTGGGCCTCGTTTAAATAAAAAGATGATAGAAGGAAAGTAAAAATGGACTAGGCGACTAAGGTTTTAGCAAGCACGTTTCAACTCTTGCAGGAGCTGTAACACACAGGGAGCATAGTTATATACATAT